TATGATTAGCTCATTTTTAGTGAAAAAAATAAAAACTAGTGTAAAAATCGTGACATCACTGTATGAATCTGTAGATACTTATGACGTTATATACAGATTAGTGTAATCGGTCTTCAGTCTAAATTTTTGGAGTGATAATGATAAAATACAGCTCCATCAACTCAATTATGTCGATTTTCGATCTTCGACTCAACTGTACAAAGCCAAGATATTCGCTCATCACTCCACTATAAGTAATCGCTGATTTAGTTAGTCTACCCTAATTTAGTAAACGGATTATGTACCTATAGTTTCTCTTTGATCTACTTTATAATAAGTAGGATTGTCAATAGTTTATATTAAAACACCACGAAAATCAGATGAATTTAAAATTTTGACCCAAAGTTCGAACAGAACTATTAGACGGTTACAAACTACCACATTATGAACCATTCCCCTTGGATTTGAAGATGAACTTTACTGATATATGTCAACAAGCATGGAACTCAGAGAGATATCCTCACTGATTGCTGAAACATTAAATACCATTTGCAGTACAGAATGATTAGCCTGGTAACTGAATCATATATACTGATATATAGATCAAATGACCGGACTTATCATGAGTAGTAAGTGAAAGAATGGATGAAAAATAATCTACACCCATGTATAGACAATATCATTGTAGAGAAGCTTTAATAATTAGTCGCAACACCAATTGATGCATTAAATTATACACTACTTACTAATCAAATGGTACATGATTGAAATAGTACTGTTAAAATTATATCCCAAGTCGTGATACCTCAGCATAGAGGATACCTGACAAAGTCTATCCTATGGTTTTTAGGAACCATAGGTAGTATGGTAAAATTGAACCATTGAGATGGAATTTCGCGTGAATCTAGTTGTTATTGAGAAGTAGACTATATGCAGCAATAGCCAAGTATAATAATTACAACATATCTGACTGACTGCTGAAGAATCCCACACTAGGACGAAACGAACGTTCGGCGCTCCCAGGTCTTCAGTGATGGTCTAACATTGATACATTTGTGATCTCAATCAAAACTTAACAATCTCTATAACCCTATAGTGATGAATATTTAATGTACAAATTCTAGAACAGTTTTTCTTTTACAGAGACCATCCGATGTACAATTCATGCAAAGACTGAAAAGTAAAGGGAACTCAGAAAGGTTTATATCAAAATTTTAATCATTTACAAACATACTCATGAACATTTTGATTTTATTACGATCGTGATATTTCTTCAAAATGCTTTGGTTTGGAAAACTTAACCAAGGTTATTAACATCGGTTTTTTTCTTATGGCCGGTGAAAGATTCTTGTTTGAAAGAATTTTGTTTAAACTTCAAGTAAACTGCTGACTTATTCACACTTATTTGTAGAGTGGATTTAAACGAAGTAAAAATAAATCACCCTTTTGTTTACGATGAAGTTGTTATTTTTCGACGTCAGTATGATAATCATTTAAGAGTCAATCAGACTTGTTAAACACTAGTTTTCTCGATTAAACGACAAAGGATAAACAAAAATAATGCGATAGATAGATAATAATCAAATATGTAACGTTAAGTGACAAAACAGATCAATATCCAACATTAAACTAACTTTTTTCAAATATATACATCAACATCTTTCGAGCAACATTATTAGATTACGAAGTTCGTCTGCATATTATTTAATAAGTTGAATCTTTGGGAAGGAATAAAAGTCAGTCAGTCAGTAACAACGTGGAACTTCGTACGTACGTACATCAGTTCGAGTTGCCATACCACATTAGCACAGAGATTCAGTTATCGATTCGAATCCCATAGTGGTAGAGGTACTGAAAGTACAAGTAGTGATACGGAACATTAAGGTTTGATGATGTCATTTAAGGAGTATAGTCCAGTCGAATAGATTTGGAAAAATAAAAGACATGAAGAATACAAAAGATTAGAGTTTGAGAGAACACAGACAGTGGATGCACCTGCGCCATTGCAAATGATTTTGAGCCATGTCATTCAAGATCTCTAACCATCGATTGCTATCATCTCGCGGTCCCCAACCAGGTAGTCTACACCTACCAACATGGCTCAGTCCACTTGTCAGTGACTTCATGTATTTGTGCCATGTTTTGGTCTGGCCGCCCCTAGCTTTCTTCCAACCTACTCCTACACGATAAAACATAGCACGTCGGGGCAGTCGGTGGTCGGGCATGCGCAACACATGTCCCAGCCATCTCAACTGATTAAGTTTCACTACTTCATCAAATGATTTGCCATCCTTACCTAGAACCCATTTCCTAACAACTGCATTGCTTACTCGGTGGTCCCAGGATATACGAGCAATGCTTCGAAGACACCTATGATCGAAAACTAGTAACCTACGCATATCCTCTACTCTTACTGGCCATGTTTGCTGCCATAAAGAAGGACGGAACGAACGGCTGCGCAGAAAACGCATCCCTTGTTTGATAGACGGATATCTCGCCTACACCATAAATGATTCAAATTGGCAAAAGCTAGTCGAGCCTTCTGTATCCATGCTGAAATTTCGTCACACACCAAACCACAAGGGCTGATGAGACTTCCGAGATAGGTGAAGCGGTCGACACGCTCAACTACAGCTTTTCGGATGTCATTCCACGCTGCCTCGGGGTGGGCATTACTTACATGGCTGCCTAACTGTTTTTCCAATTGTTCCTGAAATATACTCTTAGCTTGACTATCATTAAGTAGGACCTTAAGGGGTTTCCTTGCACCATCTTTCCTACGTTCAGTAAGACGTAGACAAATACGCGCTCGCGCTAGAGCATGATCTGAGTCTAAGCATGTGCTCCAGAATGAGCGACCGTCTTCTATCGAGCCCCTTCACCGGTGGCTGATAGCGATGTGATCTATTTGGGTCCAGCGTTGGGACGAATTAGGGGGTCTCCATGTTAAAAGATGTTTTTCCTTATGCTTAAAGTTAGTGTTTGCAAGAAACAGGCAGTTGTCTGAGCATAGCTGCAACAGACGGTCGCCGTTATCTGTTCTTTGAGCCGCGACACCATAAGATCCACCCAGGTGTCTTTCCCATTCGCTTAGTTCACCTACTTGAGTATTAAAGTCCCCAGACAATATTACTACATCTGAACGCCTAGCTTTTCGGAAAAGGTCGGAAAGCTTTTTGTAAAACTCATCTTTCACATTATCTGAGCTGCAGTCAGTGGGAGAGTAGGCGGAGACGACGAAGAGGCAACGACGAGTGTCCCTATCTTCTCGAGTCCTTACTGTTCCGTTTAGTCGGACAGCACACAAACGACCGTCTACTGGGATCCAGTTTAAGAGAGCTAGTTCTGCCCTAGGACCCAATGCTATACCTACGCCAGCGAGGCCACGGGAAGCAGCATCAGGGCTTCCAGATACACGAAGCGTAAATCGAGTTGGTTCGTTACTTTGACATGGTGCGGTCAAATGAATGACACTACTAGGATCCTGTGTGCGCGTTCCCGAGACGCAGCACACATCGATGGAGCGAGATTCTAAAGTCTTAGCTAAGAAAACTTGTTGTCCTATTTGGCACAGTGTTCGGACGTTGAAAGCTCCTACGTGTAGTTTAGAGCGCGGTTTCAGGAGACCAGGAATAACATTCTGCGTACTCGAATCGTTTGCACTAGCGTGGCGAGGTGATAAAGGGACGTAAGAAGGGTTAGTCGTGCAGATTAGAGAGTTATTAGGAGGTGTAGGAAGGATTTGAATGTGACCAACTTGGTCTCGTGTGCTGTTACGGGTATGAGGGCTGATGTCACTTCCCAGTTGCCCACACCGTGGAAGGGTATTTCTTGAGGAACCTGAAAAGGAAATCGGATTAGTGTTGGTCTTAGCGACCTGGATGCGTGACTGCAGAGCCCAAGGGACAACTGCTTGAGGCCGGTCGCGCACGGCCTTTTTGTGGGAGGTTTTTAATGTGTTAGCTTCGTTCTTCAAACGGCCTTACCGCCGGAGACGGAAATCCGTGGGGTAAGGTGAGGTGTGGCATTTTTAGGGTCAACCTTTTCTAACCCCTTCCTTCCTTGTGAGAAGGCAGCATCGCTGCAGATGCTGGTTGTCCGATGGAAACACCTTACTGCCGTCACACTTCTGTACAGTCAGCAGTACGACTTTGCCCTTACCGTTCTCCAATCGACCTATCTGGTATGGTAGAACCTGCAGGAACATGTGTTCCAGCCAATACAGCTCGGTTGGGTCATCACGATAGGCAAGCCCGACCACCACGTCAAGGTAGCAGCTACGGTCGGGGAAGAAATAAGAAGATAAGCAGTTATCAATAAACAGCACCTTTCAAAATATCTGATGGTTTGACATGTATAAACCAACCTACTCTTCATGAGAATATAAATCATTGTGCGGAACAATAAGATGCTTATTACAAGTTACCAATTATTTGGTCAAGTAAGTTTGCCTTCGTATAACCTTTACATAGATCAAGGAATCACATGAAGGTTATTATTAATTGCTTAAAAGGTAAATACTTTTCAGAGAATTGTCTATTTTCAATAGACTTCCTGGAATATAAATGTATACTCGGAATGATAATAGTTTTTCAGAATTTGTGGTCAACCACTTAATGAATAACATCTCCATTTAACAAAGTGAGTTTGTCGCTTTATTTAATATTTCGCATACTATTTGGCTGCAGTCTTCTCAGTCATGTGGTTTCTATTTCGATCAATTATGTTAAACTGTAATTTTGCCTCGAAAACATAATAATTATGTGTAGGAGGTCGCGAGAAGTCAGTATTCATTGTCAAAGTAGGCGTAAACCTAGTTAAGAATGTATCAATAACACTAAATTTTATACAAAACTCGAATACGTTAGCAAAGGATGACAGATCTGGTAAGCAGAAAGTAGTAATAACAAATATCAGTTTATATGTAGAATATATCTGTACATAAAAATGAATATTCACAGATTGCTTTTATACACATGAGAAGCATGTAAGAAGTATATACAAATGGTATATAGATTAGGTTATAAACCATATTCTGCAAGCATATTACGTTTGGCCAAATCAGACGGTTTTGTGCGGTTCACAGTTTGCTTCTTCTGGGGTTTATCGAATGATAAAGCAGATGAATACCTGTTTTTTTTTAAATTATTTTTGAAAGTGAAGTAAAAATATGAAGAGATTTTTTATTATTTATGTAGATGAAACTATTTTAAATGAAATATTGTACACAAAAAAACACTAAATTCTCGTAAAATATACTAATCCAAATCCGTAACGTAATGCGAACATGTATTATAAAGCTTATAATTAAAGGTTTTCTATACAAAAAATTTAGATTTTGATTATGTTGTCTTGATTCAGTTAGATATTACATCTCAACACACTTTCATGCTGTCCGGCATAACACATTTCCATACGCCATTTTCCTTATTAAAAGATGAATACACTGCAAATGGTAATCTATTATTGATTCATATACACTAACAAAAGAATTTATTGATTTATTTATTTTAACACAGATATTGGTACAAGGAAGCACCAAATACATATGCGCCACACAGATCTCATTTGATATGTGTGAGGGCTGTGATATTACCCGGGTGCCCAAACCGAAGCAGGTGGTTTTCTTAGGGGGCCACACCCCGAGCCTTCGACCTGAAGATCTGGCTCACAAGGCAGTGGAGCATCGTAAGGAGATGAAGTCCCATGGTAGCCGGTGACCAACGATTGGTTCATACGCCATTTGTTCCCGTAGGATACTGGAGCCTATGTGCACCATTGGTTTAGGATCCGGTTAAAGCGCCGGACATTCGCTTTTCGTCCTCTCATTTTCGTAAACAACACCCCCGCTACGAGAAGGCAGTGAGTAGGACTTTCCTGGCAGAGGCTATATACGAGTGGCCATGTGAGAGCATTTCACGCGCGAGAGAGAGAGCGGACTCTCCCCACTCTTGGCCGTACCAGGGCATCTGGGGGCAACAAAAGAATATTAATTGGTCAAATACATATAACCAAAACCATCTTTAAATGAGGAGTACAAACTTTTCTACTCTGGACAGTAGCACAATTCAGGCAAAAATATCGACTGAATCTCTGTAATCCCATGAAATGGTGATGTATTATATTAATTTGAAGTATTAGATTCAACAATATACAAAGGTGCATAATTTTTCGAGACAATTAAAGTATTTTTTAAAAAGATCAGCCATTTCACTTGGGTTGAGCACGGTCTTACGTAACCGCCAAGGCGTTGTGGAATTGAATCGCGAAAGGCTCTTAACTGGCACGCTACGAAAGTACCAATCGTAGAATAAGTGTTCGATCAATGCATTATTATGCGAAGATTTATGTCTACTTGAACTTACTTTGGTTTTCGGGGTACTATGTCATCTCCATTCGAGTTATCAAACCCTCGTTTCTTTCCTATAGAATTCTTCTGCTTATCAGCCTTAACAAAACGACCTCTTACACGAGAAGCAACATCAGATGGTTTCTTTTGCAGACAGAATGCTCTAGCAACATGCCCTAGGTGAAGACGTTTGAAGGTGAATATAGGCCGTAAGTCACCCGAAAAACTTGCATAAGAACGTAGAAATGATATATAGGCCAATTCTGAAAGTGATGTCAAAGTGTCATCATTGTCTACGGCATGAAGAAACAAATGAAATAGTTGACTAGTTCCCTCTTCAACTGTTGTACAATCATCTGGCTAAATAAAATAAAGGTAGGATAAAGCGGTAGTTTACTGTCGTTGTTCAATAAAATTTACTTAAAGAAATAAAGTCTAGAATAACAAATAATATATAATTAATCTAGCTAAACATGAAAATATTAAAATGGAAAGATATGACACAAAATCACTTTTTTGATATGAAAATATTTTGATTGAACTTCTGTGCAAGAAGATCAGGTTTGGAAATATTTAACCGAGAGTTTTATGTTCACAAAGTTACATTGCTTAATGTTTCATACAAACTACTTCAGTTGGTTATGAAAGCCTACTTTCTAACATTATTAGATGTGAAATATTACTTCATATATTTATTAAAATCGAAATAACTTATGTCCAAATAAGTTACTTCTTCTGAAAGGAGAAATTCAGTGGCGTTTTTATGGCATCTAATGAAGGCAATCGTTACAATGATCTTAGTGATTTCAATAACATCGCTGATTTCAGTGGCGTTTATACATTTAAGTTAGACAGCATGTTAACTAGTAGACTCGCTTTATTGATTAAACCAAATATAAATATATCCCTTAGAAATCTGAGACACATGTTTAACCAATGGTGGGCTTCTCGTTCCTTAGAAAATGGAGCTAAACATTGGCTGGTAGAATTCGCTTACTATTTGACCAGTGTTTGATTGGGCCACTACTTCCGAGTCATAAAAGCAGTTTACTTTAATACATAAATAAACCCAAAGTAGACATGAGAACATACCCTTTGCTTCCCAGGATGTTTAGTATTCTGTAAATGAAAAAGAACGGTCTGAAGTAGATCAGGCAAACTTATTTCTTTCATTTCAATTCCAACTTTCGATTTTAAGAGATTCATAAATTCAGTTTCTTCAGGTTCTAGGAAAAGTAATGCTTTACCATGACCCCCAGCACGTGCAGTGCGTCCAACACGATGTACATAGTCAATAGGACCTCCCGTTACATGGTATTGTACAACCCAAGCAACTGATGCTAAATCCAAACCTCGACTTGCAACATCTGTAGTGATTAGAACACCAGCTGGACTAGATGAAAAGCTACTGAAAGCTGATTCACGTTCCTTAAAATAATAACGGTAAATTAAGAGAATAGGCATATAAATTGTAAGCAAAAAACATCGAGTACTGAACTATGGTAAATACCACTCTTTGTAGTCAGTGACTGACAGATACCAAGAGGAGATTCGATCGATACATCCCTTCACAGCACTGGGTTTTTAAAGACAATATTTGTAATGCCAACTTTTCTTAAGGTATACGTTTTTAAAAACTTAGATGAAGTGAATCGTAACCACTGCAAAACTCAAAATAGTGAGTTAGATTTTATAACTTTTATTTTATTTTTCTCATTTGTGTTACATCTCCCTTTTTTATGAACTCATATTGGTGTCATTATATGCAATCATTCTTTGTTGTTTACTTGCTTATGATGTAAGTTGTTGTATACTGAATGGTTACTAAATCGTGTAAGATTAACTTTTATTTTTATTTCCATAACCTATACAAAAGCTCTTGAATATGAATACCTAATAGCCAATACAGTGAAAATGATTTAAAAAATTGTCACTAAGGACTACATAACCTGTGAAGACGGTTAAAAAGTTTACATAATTCTTACTTTATGTTCCATGCTTCCATGAAGCCGGTAAATCGACAGATTCATGACAGGTATATTAGAAATAAGCTCCTCAGATTCATCGCATAATACTGATTTGAATAGGTGATAATGAAAATCCACACAATCCTGAGTTGCCATAAAAACGATCAGCTTCCCTCCATTTTCATGATACTGGAAAAAGAAATAAATTTTACCAAAGAATATGGCACAGATTTGAAGATCACATGTAGGCACATCAATTTATATAACAACAAAAGTATGGCCACATCAAATAATTATAGAATCGCATTGATTACGAATGTATTGGGTATTACTAAATTGATATTAACATTTAGGTATTCCCTATGACCATTCGAAAATTCGCTACGAAGATCTGTCTAGTTTGATTACTTCGAAGGCAAGGACAACTTAAGTTTTATGGGTGATCTTCATTCATTAACGAAATAAACTGAGTAACTTAATTTCTAGTGATAAGCTTAACGAAATAACCCCATTCATATTAACAGATGACAGGTTTATTGCCATTTTATTAACAGTTGAAGTATGTAAAACCGAGGTATTTGAATACATTGCTTGACGGGTACCAAAGTGCTGCTGTTTGAAACCTTTACATAAGGAAATATTGTTATTAACAATTAAGGCGCAATAACAAAAGACTTTTAGTATCGACTTGTTCCATCTTCATGTTTCCCTGTTAAAAAAATAGAATCTTTAGAAACAACCTTTCAGGAAAAACATTGCATTCCGGTTTAGTGGATAATAGGAACCTGTTTCTGTACAATATATTGAGGAAAGAAATCTCACACCAGGATGTGAGCTATTCATTTTGAAATGGACATGATAGCGTTACGATTGGATTCGTGTAGTTGAATCACTTGACTTCCAACTAGAGATATCAGCTTCGTTTGCATATTCTCGATTCGATAGTCAAGTAGAATTTATTAACATAAACTTGGACGTGATTTGTTAGATCAATTGAATTAATTTATTTACCAGGTGCTTGTAAATGCGTTACACTCGAAGTCTGAGAAGTAATAATACTACCTGATTGCTCAAATCGAAGTAGGAGGAGGAGAAGGGTTCAAACATGACATAGTGGCCGAAGTCCAAACAATTCGACAACTAAGCCACTGCTCTGTGGGCGAGAATGATCATGATTGGTTGTCTGCTTAGTCAGACATGTAGACAGTCTGATAGGTGTCAGATAAGTTATATATTCCCTTATCCTTACTATTGTCAGACACGCACTTATTATTGATTGTTCATTGTTGTGGGTTGTGTCGGTTTTGGGTGAGAAAATACATTTACGTTCTGGTCAGGCTAATTACGTGTTCTTGATCTGAGTCGTATTGAAGTCCTGTAGAATAGATACTGGGAGGGATCTAGTGTAGATAATCGTTTAAGCGTTATAACATTAGACGAAGTAATGCCGAGCGTTATAGCAGTTACCTAATACAGAAAAAAACTAACAAATAATATTCACCGAATAAAGGAGCATGGGAAATCACTTACTTTGCATTTTAGTAATAAGAAAGCTGCCAATGAGACAAGCCTCAGTTTCCAAGGAACAATTAGTGCAAAATGTTTTAACCCTGTAGGAAGAGCAAATTCAGCAACATTATTTACTTGTGTATTTAACTCTACTTTAGAGGCTTTCGTTATAGAAAGTTGGGTATTCGGAGTTTTTGCTTCACTTTCTGCAGCCACGCAACGCACAGGATTCTTCAAAGTCATACCAGCAAGAGCTTCCACTCCTTTGGTTAGATGGAAAAAAAGAGATAGTCGTAGGTCAACAGATATTTGTGAAGAAAAATAACTACAATAAATAAATTTATATCCTGAACTTTAGTAGGACTTTTGGTTGGTAATAATATGAACAATATATTAATGAAAAGCATACATTGAAGCTATTATCAGAATTTTTGAATATTTCTGATGAACAAGGTATTTTTTAAATGAATTATTACATCATAGTGAAAGTATACAACAAGTAATTCCAGAGAGAGAAACCCAGTATCCAATAGCTACGAGTATTACGTGGTCATTTATTTATATTCATTGGAAACATCATACATATGATACCGAGATATGACGCGATATACACAAATTTAGTGGAAGTTTTTGCTTACAAATTAGGTAATCTTGTAAAAGTACAGTGGATACATGTTTTACGAGACTTTCTAGTAGTTTAAACGCCCAGTAAATAATCCATACAACGCTCACTTCGTCACAGATGTAAGGTTTTCATGAAGGAAACTGGATGACAGTTTTGTTGAGTCAACAGAAGGAAATGTAGAGAGTTGGAATGGAAACAGAAGACAGCTGAATTGTTACTTACTTTCCTGCCAGGTCAGTCAGTCAGCTGCAACGTAGGACCAGGCACGTATATGCATCGGTCCAAGTTGCCATACCGCATTAGCAGGACAAGATCAACACCGGATTCATAGAAGTAGTTAATTCAGTGGTGGTAATATATAGAAGAAAGATTGCATATAAGGAGATAGTACAGGAAGAAAGAATTAGTTCCTAGAAAGAAAGATTTGAAGTGATTTTAATCTCTTAGCTTAAAGGAAGACAGAGAGTGTATACACCGACGCCATTGTGATCGATTCTGAGCCATGTCACCAAGAGTCTCCAACCATTGGTTACGATAGTCACGTGGACCCCAACCAGGTAGTCTGCATCTACCAACATGGCTCAGACCAGAAGTTAGTGACTTCAAGCACTGATGCCACGTTTTGGTTTGGCCGCCCCTAACTTTCTTCCAATTATCCCCTGCACTAGTCAGCATTGCGCGTCGTGGTAATCGGTGTTCAGGCATACGCAACACGTGGCCCAAACATCTCAGTCGATGAAGATTCATAACCTCATCAATTGGTTTACCATCATTCCCTAATACCCTGCGTCTAACCTCACTATTACTTACCCGGTGATCCCAGCAGCTACCAGCAATATTTCTAAGGCACCTGTGGTCAAATACTTGTAGCTTACGAGTATCTTCTACTCTTAAAGGCCATGTTTCACAGCCATGTAGTAGAACGGAACTAACTGCCGCGCAGTATACTCGTCCCTTAATTGATAGACGGATATCTCGCTTTCGCCATAGATGACGTAAGTTGGCAAAGGCCAAACGAGCTTTTCGAATCCGTGCTGAGATTTCGTCAGACACCAACCCATTAGGGTTGATCAGACTTCCAAGATGAGTGAAGTTGTCAATGCGTTCGACTACTTCACTCCCTATCTTTAGTTCGGGTGTTGACGCAGACCAGTCCTGAAGCAACAGCTTGCATTTAGAGGGAGAGAAGAGCATCCTAAACATTCTGGCATTGTTGCTCAGTGCTACCAAAAGACTCCGCATTTTATCGGCGTCTTCACCAAACAGGACTATGTCATCTGCGTATTCTAAGTCGACAAGTGGACCTCCTGATAGGAGATCAATACTCGAGAATTCAGTCGATGAGAGCGTTATTTCCATCAGTAGATCTATGATGAAGTTAAACAAAAATGGAGAAAGTGGACAGCCTTGGCGGACGCCACTTGAGGTTGCGAAAGCAGATGACAGTTCGCCATAAGCTCTCACTCGACTAGTAGTGTTCGAGTAAAGAGCTTTCACAAGGTTTATGCACTTCTGAGGTACGCCTTTCAATGACAGACTGCCACAGAACCTCTCGGTCAACAGAGTCAAACGCTGCTTTTAAGTCAAGAAAAACTATCACTGTCGGACGCCAATAAGTATGCCTGTGTTCTAGAACCTGACGAATGGTGAATATGTGGTCGATGCAGCCACGACCAGGTCTAAAGCCAGCCTGATTTTCACGTGTTTGCAGTTCACGAGTCTTAGTTAGGCGTCCGATAATTATCGAGGCTAGTATTTTAGATACTATATTAGTCAAACTAATCCCTCTGTGGTTATCACAGGATGATTTTGATCCTTTCTTAAATATTGGGACGATAAGTGATTGTGACCAGTTAGATGGGATAACGTCTAACTCCCAGATTTTAGCTAAAATATTAGTCAACCTAATCGCTAAAACTAGACCACCATCCTTAAAGACCTCTGGGGCCAATCCATCTGGACCAGCTGCCCTTCCTCGTTTCAGATTAGCTATAGCCTGCCAGGTCAACAGAATGAAAACTATGAAAAGTGCTTTGAAATTAGATTTATCTAATTGTTTTTTCTATAACCATTGTTTTCACTTTTTTACAACTGACGAATGATATATCATCATACACATCTCTTGCTATAACCTCTTTCTTTCAGTTACTCAACTATTTTTCCTTTGGACAAAATAGAAAAAGGTAAGAAAACGTACCCGGAGATAATGTTGCAGATAAAAGAACGGTTTGAATTTTTGATATGGATTTATTTTCCGTTGAAAAACAATTGAACTGCTGCATTAATCCTTCAACAATCTGTCTAACATCTCGTTCGAATCCCATTTCTAACAAACGATCAGCTTCATCTATTACTAGCCATTGTATTCTCCGAAGATCAAGTGTGGACGTATGTCCCATATGATCAAGAATGCGCTTTGGTGTACCAATTAGAATATTAATACCCTTTCTTAGACTGTTTCAAGGGAACAATTAGTAAAGAGAATCAGATTTACATAAAAGATAGAAATAATGTCAACATTAACCTTAGTGGCAATCTTTAGTCAAACAAAGCTTTTACAAAACTAATCAGACAGAAACAAGGTAGAACCTGGTGCATATGTGCACCACCTGACGTTGCCACACAATATTAACACACCGAGATGAAATTATTAAGATAAATCACAGAGTAACAGAATCGGTAAATGTATCAGTGGTAGTGTTAAAAAGTAGGCATGGATAATACGATTCGAAAAGAAATGAATTAGCTCCATAAAACATGTAAGAAAATTTTAAAACTTCAAACCGAAGGGAAGATAGAGAGTGAATGAGTCTGTGTCATCCTAATCGAATCCGCCCAGGTTAACAAACGTCTCCAACCACTGGTTACGATAATCATGCAAACTCTAGCGAGATAGTCTGCACCAACCAATATAATGCAGACCACCAATCAATGATATTATGGACTGGTACCACGATTTGGTTTTGCCATCCCTATTTTTCTTCCTATATTTTCATGCTTGTTAACATTGCTCGTCGAGGTATAAGTGGTTGGGTATATGTGATACATGTTCCAACCACTTCAGTCAAGAAAAATTCACTGCTTCACCAATCGGTTCGACATCCTCAACTAGTACCCTACGTTTAACCTTAGTATTGCTAACTCAACAGTCCCAAAATACAAGAGTATCCTTCGGAGAAATGGATAATAAAATACTAGCAATCTCAAAGTATCTATTTCTAAAGACCACACGTCACAACCATAGAGTAGAACAGAGTGAATTTCTGAAAAGTATAATCGTCCATTGATTGGTAGACAGATATATCGTCTACTACACAAGTGACGCAAGTTGGCAAAAAAAACCAAGTTTTCTGAACATGTGTCTAAATTTTGTTAGACACCAACCAACCCACCAGGGCCAATGAAACTTCCAAAATAAGTGGCCGATACACTAATCTACTTCATTCCCTAATATTAATTCAGGTGTTGACTCAATGTCTTCATCAAACAGGACTATTTCATCTATTGAGTGGTGGCTCAGTGGTTATAGAGTTCGACTTCTAGCCATTAAGTCACAAGTTCGAAATTTGCTCCACGTTCTAAAGTTTGGGCAACTGGTTAGCATCACTAGCTCTAAAACACAGAGTATGGCTAGAAGCGAAATACACGAACCTATACCTGGTGAACGAGTTAATAAATCTCCCTGTATAAGATCAAGTCAGACAATGAAAGCTTTGTCTCTATGACAAAGCTAAATAAAAATGGAGGAAGAGGGTAACGCTGATGAACACCATTTAAGAATTCCGGTAACAATTCGCCATGATTCTGACTTGATTGGTAGTTTTCGAGAAGAGAGTCTGAACAAGGTTGATGTATTTCCTTGGCACACCTTTAGGTGACAGACACTAACATAAAACGCACCATAAAACAATTTTGAAAATGATTAGTTTTATTCCAACTTAGATTTACGTTGTAGTCAGTGCCTGTAGGAAATTTACATATTTGATTACCTTATATAGTCTTTTTATCATCAAGTAATCGTAAATGTCAAGATTAACGCTCGTTGAAAACACCATAGTTTTTACTTAACTAGTTAGAATTCTGTTCACGAAATTAAAAGGACGAAGAGCGAATGTCTGGCGTTTTAATCGGGTTGGTGGACATGGAGAGTCCACCTAGGAGTTGGAAAACCCTGATTCCAAACCAATGGTGTACATGGGCTCCAGAATCTTGGAGGAACAAATGGTGTACAAACCAATCGTTGGTCACCGGTTAGCATGGGACTGCATCTCCTTACGTTGCTCCATTACCTTATAAATTAAACCTTTAGGTCGAAGGCTCCGGGTGTGGTCCCCTAAGGAAATCACCTGCTTTAGTCTGAGCACTCGGGCAATATCACAGCCCACACGCAAATCAAGTGAATTGTGTGGCACATATGTATTCGGTGCCCCTTTGTACCAATATTTATGTGTTCAAATAGATAAATAGAATTCTGTACACTTGGTTCATGAATTTGAATACATGAGTAATAGTTTAACATTATAATGATCTTAATCGAAAGACTATTTTGGTTTGAGTTGCAAGTGGTTTCTGTCACGAAGTGATAACAGTTGAGGTACCACTAAAAAGCAAAACAGTTGTTCAGTATACAGACTGCTGAGGAGCCTCAAAATGACTTCATTTGCTTGTTGCGTCGTAATATAACTAACGAAAGCGGGTGGTCATCAATTGCTGTTTAATGTGATTTTCACGCTTGGTTGATTATCCCTTAACTGATAAGTAATTCAATTATAATATTCTGGTTGGTTATTTTGTCTATAAATTTTCCTAGCAATATAACCAGATATTCAGTGGTTTGTCTTCTAAGGCATTTTCAGTTTGAGATTAAGGATTAACCCCATCCCAGTTACTCTAAGAATTTTAATAATCAATTATCATAACAAAGCACTTGGAATGTAGCATCACAACAAAATACCGAATTGCTGATAATGGTTACAACACAACAGATAAACAAAGTTTGATAACTAATAGTTTACTACCCATGAACACGTAACTAAAAGTAAGATTTACGTTAGATAGTATGACTGAATAGTAAAAATTTTCACTAAAAAACCATGACGTAGACCTGGCAGTCAAAAATTGATGACTAAACTAAACTGGAAGTGATTTGCCATGAAGAGGATGGGGTAGTATTACTTATATCAATATGCATTAAGGACTGTATACGAAAATGTGAAAGTAAGGATATAGAAGTGATACTGCAGCCTCTTAAACAAAAGTTTTAATTATAATACACCAACAAGGTAGTAATCAGAGATCAATATGGTCATCGAACACAGAATTGTCGGGGATACTATACCCTGAAATACAACATACGAAAAAGAAAGTCTAAACGTCACATATCCATTTAAAGTGATTTCATTCAGTCAACTACGACGAATCCTCATGACTTCTATTCATATACTTTCAGTTGTACTTAGTCATTTGATTCTTAATTTTTTTTTCTTGTATTCAGTCAGTCAGTCAGTAACAACGTGGAACTTCGTACGTACGTACATCAGTTCGAGTTGCCATACCACATTAGCACAGAGATTCAGTTATCGATTCGAATCCCATAGTGGTAGAGGTACTGAAAGTACAAGTAGTGATACGGAACATTAAGGTTTGATGATGTCATTTAAGGAGTATAGTCCAGTCGAATAGATTTGGAAAAATAAAAGACATGAAGAATACAAAAGATTAGAGTTTGAGAGAACACAGACAGTGGATGCACCTGCGCCATTGCAAATGATTTTGAGCCATGTCATTCAAGATCTCTAACCATCGATTGCTATCATCTCGCGGTCCCCAACCAGGTAGTCTACACCTACCAACATGGCTCAGTCCACTTGTCAGTGACTTCATGTATTTGTGCCATGTTTTGGTCTGGCCGCCCCTAGCTTTCTTCCAACCTACTCCTACACGATAAAACATAGCACGTCGGGGCAGTCGGTGGTCGGGCATGCGCAACACATGTCCCAGCCATCTCAACTGATTAAGTTTCACTACTTCATCAAATGATTTGCCATCCTTACCTAGAACCCATTTCCTAACAACTGCATTGCTTACTCGGTGGTCCCAGGATATACGAGCAATGCTTCGAAGACACCTATGATCGAAAACTAGTAACCTACGCATATCCTCTACTCTTACTGGCCATGTTTGCTGCCATAAAGAAGGACGGAACGAACGGCTGCGCAGAAAACGCATCCCTTGTTTGATAGACGGATATCTCGCCTACACCATAAATGATTCAAATTGGCAAAAGCTAGTCGAGCCTTCTGTATCCATGCTGAAATTTCGTCACACACCAAACCACAAGGGCTGATGAGACTTCCGAGATAGGTGAAGCGGTCGACACGCTCAACTACAGCTTTTCGGATGTCATTCCACGCTGCCTCGGGGTGGGCATTACTTACATGGCTGCCTAACTGTTTTTCCAATTGTTCCTGAAATATACTCTTAGCTTGACTATCATTAAGTAGGACCTTAAGGGGTTTCCTTGCACCATCTTTCCTACGTTCAGTAAGACGTAGACAAATACGCGCTCGCGCTAGAGCATGATCTGAGTCTAAGCATGTGCTCCAGAATGAGCGACCGTCTTCTATCGAGCCCCTTCACCGGTGGCTGATAGCGATGTGATCTATTTGGGTCCAGCGTTGGGACGAATTAGGGGGTCTCCATGTTAAAAGATGTTTTTCCTTATGCTTAAAGTTAGTGTTTGCAAGAAACAGGCAGTTGTCTGAGCATAGCTGCAACAGACGGTCGCCGTTATCTGTTCTTTGAGCCGCGACACCATAAGATCCACCCAGGTGTCTTTCCCATTCGCTTAGTTCACCTACTTGAGTATTAAAGTCCCCAGACAATATTACTACATCTGAACGCCTAGCTTTTCGGAAAAGGTCGGAAAGCTTTTTGTAAAACTCATCTTTCACATTATCTGAGCTGCAGTCAGTGGGAGAGTAGGCGGAGACGACGAAGAGGCAACGACGAGTGTCCCTATCTTCTCGAGTCCTTACTGTTCCGTTTAGTCGGACAGCACACAAACGACCGTCTACTGGGATCCAGTTTAAGAGAGCTAGTTCTGCCCTAGGACCCAATGCTATACCTACGCCAGCGAGGCCACGGGAAGCAGCATCAGGGCTTCCAGATACACGAAGCGTAAATCGAGTTGGTTCGTTACTTTGACATGGTGCGGTCAAATGAATGACACTACTAGGATCCTGTGTGCGCGTTCCCGAGACGCAGCACACATCGATGGAGCGAGATTCTAAAGTCTTAGCTAAGAAAACTTGTTGTCCTATTTGGCACAGTGTTCGGACGTTGAAAGCTCCTACGTGTAGTTTAGAGCGCGGTTTCAGGAGACCAGGAATAACATTCTGCGTACTCGAATCGTTTGCACTAGCGTGGCGAGGTGATAAAGGGACGTAAGAAGGGTTAGTCGTGCAGATTAGAGAGTTATTAGGAGGTGTAGGAAGGATTTGAATGTGACCAACTTGGTCTCGTGTGCTGTTACGGGTATGAGGGCTGATGTCACTTCCCAGTTGCCCACACCGTGGAAGGGTATTTCTTGAGGAACCTGAAAAGGAAATCGGATTAGTGTTGGTCTTAGCGACCTGGATGCGTGACTGCAGAGCCCAAGGGACAACTGCTTGAGGCCGGTCGCGCACGGCCTTTTTGTGGGAGGTTTTTAATGTGTTAGCTTCGTTCTTCAAACGGCCTTACCGCCGGAGACGGAAATCCGTGGGGTAAGGTGAGGTGTGGCATTTTTAGGGTCAACCTTTTCTAACCCCTTCCTTCCTTGTGAGAAGGCAGCATCGCTGCAGATGCTGGTTGTCCGATGGAAACACCTTACTGCCGTCACACTTCTGTACAGTCAGCAGTACGACTTTGCCCTTACCGTTCTCCAATCGACCTATCTGGTATGGTAGAACCTGCAGGAACATGTGTTCCAGCCAATACAGCTCGGTTGGGTCATCACGATAGGCAAGCCCGACCACCACGTCAAGGTAGCAGCTACGGTCGGGTTTTTCTTGTAATGATCATCTCATTATGATTTATACTCAGTAATGACTCAGTTAATAAAATTCTGCAATCAATAATCGCTTATATATAGCTGAATTAACTTGGATGTGAAATCAATCTTCTTTTGTCCCGTCTAGTAAATCTTTTTAACAAGATTTTTCTTTTGAAGTAATGGGCTGGATTGAAGGAGTAGGGCTATTGTATATAGTATCGCAGCTATCAATATAGTTATCGAGCACATCCCACATTCGTAAGAGAAACTGATAGTTATTTAGTTGCTATTTCAGTTCACATAGGTACAAAATACTTTTAATAATCCACTGAAAGCTAAAAGTAGTAAAATGTAGCTTGTATATTAAAGGTTATTCAGAGAAATATACCTCGCTTTCTGTGATTTCCGTTTCATCCCTCCAACCAACAATCCTGGAACAATACGTACACAAGCTTGCGACAGAATTTTGAAAACATCAAATGTTTGTGTTGCTAATTCTCTTGAAGGAAGAATTATTATCCCTAAAGGTCCATCTTTACGTTCAATGGGAGGGTCAAGGTTAATTAACCGATCGAACAGTGGGACTGCATATGCTAGAGTTTTTCCAGATCCTGTTTGGGCACGTAATAAAACATCTCTTCCATCAACTAAAGGAGGAAGTGCGGCTTCCTGAATAGCGGTTAGATGATCCATTTTGAAACGGTTAGTCAGGCAAGTAATCAAATGTGGGAAGATATCCAACGACTCACACATATCTTTCCAGTGCTTCGAAGAAAAAACCGGTTCAATTTTGGGTTTCACAGGCTGGCTAAATAAAAGCAACCACAGTCGAAGTAAGAGGTCAAGCAAATGACTTAAAAAGCGTTTAGTGAAGGAGAATACAATAGTAATGACAAAATAGGAAAAACAGAGGGTTTACTGGGTCACATGTGGTGAGGCTGTAATTGTAGGAGCAATTATATGACACCTCTCTGTAGTCTGATTAGCGGTTAATTTGTCTATATTGCCAGTAGAACTGATGGTATTCATATTTGCCAATTGACACACCGACCAAGACCTAAACGCTTACTGATCCTCGAGCCCAGTCTAAACTGGTGTCCCATCAGAAAACGAAAATAGCACATTACTTCTCTGTTGTACTCTATTCAATCATGATTAGGAACGCATACAAGAATGTCTGACTACACAGCAAAACAATTAAGGAATTATAATATGTAAACAACAGTCATAACTGAAATAAAACTTGAATTCCAGAGAAATAATTAGTCTATTTGGAATACGATTTACGACGATTCACAGACCAGACAAAAGCTTAGGAATAGGGAAATGTAAAATACAATACGAGCGTCTACTAATTGTGCAATAAAGATATAAATAATAGCCTTTCCTATGATAGTTCCACATGTTAAACTTCCACGCTACCAGGCCAACTATACCAAGTAGTAACAAAATATCACAATTTTACTGTTTGACCATAGATGTAACTCTAGAGAGTGGAAACAAATCACCAAGCATTGTTGTGGACCTTTAAAAATCTTTTAGAAACTCGTACATATGTACAAGAAAAACTTAGCATAATATACTCTATTAGAAATTCTGCTTGAAAGGACGATGTCACATGTTAGGTAAGTTACAGTTCCTAAAAGCAGTCGACACTTTCGAGAACGTCCAGTTAGTCTTTAAATTAACTATGGAAGTCAGACGTCTGATCAATTGCAACAGCATGATCATAACCTTTGACTCGTTGTTGTTGCTAACTGGCACAATCTTGAAGGTTCAGTAAGTAGGTTGGTAATGGGACTGAACCTAAAAAACTAGTACTAGATGAGAACGAGGACAGACAGATGCTTTAAAGGTAATCAAACACGGTTTAAGATTGGAAGATACATGTCCGTTCAGATTATTTACCCGAAGATCGTATGCGATGAGACTTTTCGAAAACAACTGACCAGACAGTAGGGAGAACTTAGGAATTTAGAGTTTTTAGGCGATGATATTGAGGCCCGATTTTGAGTCCTGTGTGAATTGAACAAGTGATCTACTTGCTGTCCTGAGCTCATTCAAGTGGGTGATTTCTTTATGAGTTACATTTATAATTGGACCGAGATTGATAGTTGCTTTGTCGTACGAGGATGTAATGTCTCATGTATCACAACTCCAACTAAGTGTTTCAACTGCAATCTATTATTGATAACGTATAGTGAGTTACACGACCCGGGCAGTATCTGGGTCCTACTCACTGCCTTCACGTGGCGGGGGTGTTGTTTACGAAAATGAGAGGACGAAAAGCGAACGTCCGGCGCTATAACCGGATCCCAATTCTATGGTGCACATGGGCTCCAGTATCCTGAAGGAACAAATGGCGTATGAACCAACTTTTGGTCACCGGCTTCCATGGGACTGCATCTCCTCACGATGCTCCACTGCCTTGTGGGTTAGACCTTTAGGTCAAAGGCTCGGGGTGTGGCCCCCTAAGAAAACCACCTGCTTCGGTTTGGGCACCCGGGCAGTATCTCAGCCCACACACCAAAACATGATGAAATATTCGCTTACGAAAATATTCGTTCTTGAAATGAGTTACACGACCGACTTCACACACAAACCGGCATCACTGACCTGTTTTAAGAAATCAATGCGACGATGTCTCAGAAATTTAGTTCTTACTTTTGTAAGAAATCTGTAACATCTGTGTCGCAAAGTGTGATCTTATGGTCCCTAGTAATTCTAATCTATGAGTAAGTTACTGGTATTTGATCACAGGTGCCTTAGAAACATTGCGGGTATCTGCTGGGATCACCGGGTAAGTAATAGTGAGGTTAGACGTAGGGTATTAGGGAATGATGGTAAATCAGTTGATGAGGTTATGAATCTTCATCGACTGAGATGGTTGGGCCACGTGTTGCGTATGCCTGAACACCGATTACCACGACGCGCAATGCTGACTAGTGCAGGGGATAATTGGAAGAAAGTTAGGGGCGGCCAAACCAAAACGTGGCATCAGTGCTTGAAGTCACTAACTTCTGGGCTGAGCCATGTTGGGAGATTCAGACTGCCTGGTTGGGGTCCGCGTGACTATCGTAACCAATGGTTGGAGACTCTTGGTGACATGGCTCAGAATCGATCACAATGGCGTCGGTGTATACACTCTCTGTCTTCCTTTAAGCTAAGAGATTAAAATCACTTCAAATCTTTCTTTCTAGGAACTAATTCTTTCTTCCTGTACTATCTCCTTATATGCAATCTTTCTTCTATATATTACCACCACTGAATTAACTACTTCTATGAATCCGGTGTTCAAATTGTTGTGCTAATGCGGTATGGCAACTTGGACCGATGCATATACGTGCCTGGTCCTACGTTGCAGCTGACTGACTAATCTATGAGGATGACCTTAAAACGTCAATATTCTTATTTGCAGGTACGTAGGATAATAGTAAGTAATGACACTGATAGGTTTGAGCTCCGAGCTTATTCACTTGGTCAGGACGTTAAGACTGGCAGAATAATAATAATAGTAATAATAATAACAGGCGAAACTATGATTGATCGACGAAGCAATCGGATCTAAGACAGCAGGTCTTGACATCTATTCACTCATTTGGCTAAATACCATTTCGGCATTATAGCTGACGTCAGCTCGTGATGAAAAGCGTCTTATTCCTAACCCTAACGTTTAACTGTAAATCCGAATCCTAATTCCCCACACTATTCTCTAGTCCTCGTTTAACCCTAGTAAGTAGATGGACATTCCAAGGTCATTTTAGCGCTGATCAAAGGTCGTCCATAAATTATAGACTCACTTTACTTATTGTTGAGAATAATATGTCAACAGCGCAATCAACGACACCTGTTTCGATAAAACATCAATTTAAGCGCATACAAACAGTCATATAATTTATCCTGGTTTTATAGAACTTAAATAGCAATCTCAAGAAAAATCAGATAAACTTATGAGACAATGCAAACATGTTGTTACCTCATCATTGTTTGTAGCATGGGAGCCTCAGTCATTTTGTTGTGTATACTAAACTGCAATGAATTTTTCTCCTTTTTTTTCTCTTGAATAACAAGTTTATCCTTAGCTGCAGTATGTGGAGAACCATAAGATGAGGTGATCGAGTTACATTTTTTACGACTTGATGAATTCTACTCAAAATGACTGGGTGTTGAGCGACAAATTACCTTGCATTGTTTTTCCTTACGATCACTCGTATCCAAAATATTTAGGATAAAATCATCCATCGTGACCTTTTGAAAAACTGGAAACCAAGTCAAGGTCACTTAAAGTAAACTGGATCTTTTAAATAAAGTTCTGATAACTCCTTGTAGCGGTAAATAAATCTCCAACTCGGTAGTTCTGTAAGTCTTCGACATATGACACTGACCTCATTCATTTTAATGGACTCATCTAGCTCAAGGCGCTCGGTCATGCATCCGCACCAGATCACGTGTGGGAACGCGGTGCTCAACGTCTACTGCAATCGCTAGCCAGATTAAATCAGATGATGCTTGATATATTGATAGCTTATCAAACATATCTTCGAACCTCCTCGCTTCTGTCTTTCGATTTCACTTGGTGGGTACGCTTCACATTAGAAGGTGTTACTGGTTAAAGCGTTGTCAAACTCCGAATACCTGTGGCATCTTCAGTAGGTTCAGTGCAACTGTCAGTATACGTAAGGACGATGTTGCTTCCACGTGACGTTATAGCACATCTGGACGGTTGTGGCTATCCAACTTTGAAGTCGTACTTTATTTTGTTAAGTATTGTTTCCTCATATTAGGTGTTACCAGGTAATGTGTTTTTCAAACTGAATATCTGTGGCATCTTCAAGACTACAGGTGGGTATGCAGTGTTAGGTATCCCTTTCAGCCGCCATTTTGGAGGACAAGAAAACCGAGGGCATATCAGTTGAAATTTATTACTTTGTAACTCATGAACTTTAATCTAGTCACCTCCGATTCTTGTATTTAACAATGGAAATGGATATGGTTTGGCATCATACAGGAGCTTCGCTATTCCACGAATCAGCTTAGTTACGGTTGTTTGAACCTTCATCGACAACCCACTGTTTTATTGGAAAAACGTTAGACGCTTGTGTGCAATAATCGGGATTATGACGCACGAATACTCCATACCAGGTCAAAAAGACTTTAGCATCAACCATAGGGTTCTAAAATATTTGGAGGTTATTGCACGGCAGTGTGCAGTAGTTTTCAAATCTCGGCTGACGATGACTCTTGATTTATTGTCATGACAGAAGTTAGTTCACTGTATGTATCTGTACCTTCGTGACCAATATGACTCATAATGCACTTGGATGCATTTGTAGTGTGGCGTCTAGTCGCGGTTGACTATGATCACCACTACAAGAAAAGCGTGTACCAGAAAATCAGAAGGCGAATGAAGGTTGTAACCAGATTTATTCGTTGGCAATCTTCTGGTATCGAAAGTATACCAAGATCGTGCCAAAGGAAATACAAGTGGAATCACTGGGCGAGCATACAAGGTCACAGTCAACGGAAGAAGTATGGATGTCTTTAGTACAGTTAAACAAAGAAGCACAGTAAAACATTCACTAGTACGATTGGTTATGATAGTAATTGTTTCCATTACACCTATCGCGTTCTGTTGATGGAAGTAGGTCACTACACATTCATCGGCAACCGACGAATTGATATAACAGCCGGTGTTAGGGTTTGAAAAAGAGAGTTATCACGGGTTCACGTAGTCTGCGTACGAGAACGAGATTCGATGACCAATGACCAGTGAGCCAGCTATTGCTGCGCCCCAGCCCCGCTATCAAGAGGGAGAAGTCCAAGCTTGAAATAAGAAGTGTATTCTGCAGCAACCAGAGAAAAGAGCGAAGTCCCTTTAGTAGAAAATATACTCGTTTATATATTGATTGTACACCCGTTTTGATTAATAATTAGAAGAAAATCACATACATGAAAAATACTCACAGTTATAACAAATGCTGAGTATACTTCATAGTCAATGGAATACAAGAATATTGTATATTATACAGAATAAATATCATACGAGAAAAGAAAAGAAATATTACATTGCGTAATCATTACATTGAATCAAAAGGATGTAATGATGAATAAAACTCATATTAAGTAAATCAATCGAATATTGATTTTTCCTCCCATCATATCAGCCGGTTGTAAGTAACTTTGTCAAATTCTCACTGAAATCAGTGAGGTCAAATCCATAGGTAACTTTTCGTCTTTAAGAGAGCACCAACTTTCAAGGGCTATTAATAAATTAGTGAATAACCTGTTCTAAAGCCATATTGCATTTCAGAAAGAACTTGGTTTTCGTCGAGATATATGTGACTTCCGAAAAATCTTTTCTATAACCTTAATAACCATGCTGCTAAGGCTTTTTAGTGGCCCAGTGATCTGATTCCGATTTGATCGTAAAAATGCTTGCTATCACCTATCCTCGTATATAATCATTGACTTAAATCGCCTTAATTAATAACGGAATTAAATAAGTCAAAAAACGAGGATGGACTTTTGAATGCATGTATTTTGTACAGTTGTTGATTAGACAAACGAACGGTTGAACGACGCGAAGAGAAGAAAGCGAAGCGAAGAATGACGCGTGGTGAAGTTGGCTGGTAAACCAACTCCTCGTTAACAAAGAGTTAATCAATATTTATAAGCCCACAAAAATAAATTACAGACATGTGATGAGTAATGGGATAAGAAGTGTACATACGTCTACGCGCTCATACAAAGACAGTCAAGATATTGATAACCGGATAATTAACAAGGTCAGAATGTGACTCAAATAGAATGAATAGAATGGGCTGTCCGAAAGTTAGAATAATAAGGTATTTGGGCTTAACATAATGACAGACACTTCAGCTTATAAGTTACGGGTTACGGACATATTAAAACATATTCTTAAGGGATTCGCGAGAAAGTTTGCTAATTCCTTTAGTAACCTAGGATGCATTTTATCGGGTCTCATAAATTTGTTTATATCAAGCTCATTTAACGGACCAAAATCACAGTGTTCGGTGTGTGTGAGGTTTATATGAACTGAAGGGGGGCATCTCTATGGTATATACATTGCTAAATTAGTTTATGAACACCTGAGCTTTACCGAAATCGTCCTCTATTAATTATGCAATACTAATGCCCCCTCTCATATTTCTGAAATATTTCCCCTTCTCTTAGTCATTTGGTTTATGTACGAGTATAAGCGTTTAATATATTTTATGAACTCCTCAACAAGTTTTTTTCGTACAACCTTCTAAACTTTCCAAAGGTTGAGGCACAAATATTTAGGGCTTCTCGATGTTAAAATTTTGTCTCATCAGTACAAAGTAACCTAAATCTCTCCAACGTTTTATAAAGGGCGCGAACCTCTCTAATGAACCACGGTGAGCAGTTTCTCGGACCCATTTGCGTAATCCAGGGGGTATGCGGTACAGTAACTTATGTACATTTTTCTGAATACAACCCAAGCTGTTTCAATTGGGGGCTCTGGCTCTATTGTCCAATCTATTGAGGATGCTGAGTATATAATATCTTATGTATTTGCTTTCCAGACGTTAGGTCCGAGTTGGGCGGAGGCGTGCTCGATTTTGACAATTATATGGAAATCAAAGATTTGAACTGCATGATCACTTTTAACTCGGGGTAGCATTTAGTCGACGTTTGTGATATCATCCTCATAAAAGGTCAACAATAGAGCTTGTAAGGGTGATTCGGAGTTCGAGTCCTACCTAGTTGTTTCTTCCACATATTGCACGAGGGCACATGTGGTAGCTGTCAACTATTTTCTGTTCAAAGGAATTTCCTGACAGTCCAGTCCTCAGGAATTTCCGGTCTACCGTAGGCTCATTAAAGTCTCCTAAGATCAAACATCGACTACTTAATGACCAATTGTGGAAATCATCTACCAAGAACATATATACCTACAATCCGGATTGCAGAAGACCAAACCAATCATCCCTCTTCCTCTAAATTCCAAGCAGCAACTAATTCGCATGTTTCAGTCAATGAGACTTGTTATCAGTAGCGGTATATGAGATATTGCTTCTAATGAAACGAGCTATGCCTCCCTCTTTATGCTTCTGGATTCTGTCGGCTCGTACTTACGTGAAATCTTAAAAAGCAAATTTCCCACTATCTATAAACAGCATCAGCTAAGTTCCTGGTGTGATTGTTTGTCGTATGTACTCTCGAGGTATGACAATTCGTGCATGTAGGCTGGTGTGTGTTTGTGACATATGTTGCGTTGGACTTGGTGAACTAAATGTGGCAATCTTAGAGGTTTATTTGCAGACTTTCCTTCGGACTCGACACTGGGAATCAAGAAAGTCCTGATGTCATTTTCTGTCAGAGCCTCTCAGCCCGAAATTTTATGATCTTTAGGTCTTTCTCGCTAGCATCAAATCTTGTTTTTAGTTCATTTTCAACTTTTCGTCGTTTTGTACTCTCCGCATGCTGTAATTCTATTCGGACATAAACTACCTAACCCTTTAGTTTACGTCCATTCTGCAGTAATAAGTGCAGTTCATTGAGAGGCTTAAATGCTACTTTTGGTAGCCTGGTCTATAAATATTTAACAAGGTGACTCCAGAAATATTCAAATGCACCAGCTAGTTTGATAGCTCTTTCATCAACTCAATGTCATGCTCAAAACGAATTCTGGGTTCTGAGCACGCAGTCTCCTTGACGCTATGAAAGAAAGTAATCTGTCACTATGATCATTTTTCAACCTATCAGATGCTGTTGAGGGGACAGACTTTTCTTCAGCAACATTAGGTTGCTCCTTATTCTTGATCTGTTCCCATTCATCAAATTTGATTGGAGTATCAATCATAGTCGCGTTACATATATTGTGGGAACCTAGATGATTATCGATGACTTGGGTAGTCACTTTGTTAATTTTACTACTAGAAACAGACTTAGTCTAGCGATCAGTTTTTCCAGACGTTTTCTGCTCGTTGCCATTTGGGGGGTGGGAGACACGAGAAAATTCCATTCCTGAGCTTTCTTCTAACAGACCTCATTATAAACTGTCGTTTCACCGTTTGCCTATTTAAGTTGGTAGACTCTTAGTTCACTTTAAGTAACTTCATATCCGAACATCACTGCTGACACAACTAAACGCAGCTATTTTTACTACACCATTTAAAATCCTCAAGCGTTAGATTCATGCGAATTTCGTAGCACTAAACGACACTTTTGGCAAATATTTTAACTGAAATAAATTC